AAAGATAGGGAGAAAACAAGACAAAATAACATGGCGGATATCGCATTTTGTGTAAAATTCAAAATTGGCTTTTCAATACAGACCAGATACAATACTGATTTTGGCGGGAACTAAATTTATTTTTTTTTAAATGGCGTTTATCGCATTTTGGAACCAACCTCTTCATATGTACTACCGTTCAAAAGTTTGAGGTCGATAAGATTTTATGTTTTTGAGAGAAGTCTTGCTCAGTAAGGCTACATTTAATAAAAATACAATACAGTAATAGTGTAAAATATTACAATTTAAAATAACTTTTCTATTTTCATTCATTTTAAAATGCAGTTTAATCCTGTTATGCTAAAGATGAATTTCCAGCAGCCATTACTCCAGTCTTCAGTGTCACATAATCCTTCAGAAATCATTCTAATATGCTGATTTGGTTCGCAAGAAACATTTTGTATTATCATCAATGTTGAAAACAGTTATGCTGCTTAATATTTTTGTGGAAATCAAGATACATTTTATCCAGGATTCTCTGAATAGAAAGTTCAATAAAATAGTATTAATTTGAAAATGAAATATTTTGTAAAATTATAAATGTCTATACTGTCACTTTTGATTAATGAATCTTTGTTAAATAAAAGCATTAATAAAAAAAAAAATTTTAAATTCTGACTTCAAACTTTTGAATGGTATGAATAGTAATACAAATTGCAGATTAATGTGCCATTCATTCGGCAAATAAAAACATACGTGAGGGGCAGTTAATAGGCATCCGGTGCCACACTCATAAGCTTCTCTGAGTCTGCCCAGCTCCCTCAGACAAAGTGCCTTCCTGTAGAGTGCCCTGCGACTGCCCTCCGACACACACAGTGCACTATCACAGTCCTGCACGCCCCGCTCAAACTCCCCCTAAACATAAAATACAAGAGAAGTCAGATTTGCAGAACTTGTCTTTGCAACACTAACGGTTGAATTACTACAATTTGCACATACGGAATTCCAATTGACCAATAAAAATCTAACTTACCAGACTATAATGTGCAGCTGCCCGGTTCACATAAAGGCTCTCTAACAACTCAGGGGGAATGACCAGTGCTTCAGACTGAGCATAGCGAGCTACATTCACACCCTCACTGTAATGGAGCGCTGCCTGTCTCCACTCTCCATCGCGATACACTGAGTTACCTTCATCCAGCAAATTACATACTAGCTGAGTCAGGAATGCCTGAGGAAAGAAAGCAAGAGAGTTTCAAATCATTTAAATTAAGCTCATGAAATACATTAAATATGGATTATCTAGGTGGGGCCATTTGTCTTCAGCAATAATACATATAAATCATACCTCATAACCTTCAGGTTCAGGGAAAGGCAAAGATGACCTGTGGCAAAAAGAAAAATACATTTAGCAATTTTGAGATGATAAACACATCAACACAGAGTAGAGGGGAAGCGGTAAATATTATATCTGAATTATGGAGATGCAGCACATAAGTCTACACACTTACTGAATGAATCCCAAAGCTTTCTGAATTTCTTCCTTACGCTTTTGTCGTTCTAGATCCATAGCTGTAAAACAACACAACCAATATGCAACATTTTAAACGTTTTATTCAAACAAAACCTATGGTGAAACAAAATAAAAATACACTTTGTAGGGACAAAACATACAATTACTGCAAGTGATTTTACAAAGGATAAAGTCACAAAATGTTACGTGAAAACATTTCAGTTTTATTTGTTTCACATTCCAAGTAACATTTGAAACCAATACTGCAGTATAAAATTTAGTTTCAGTAATTAGTGAGGAAAAGACTAAAGATTCAAACATTTCTAGACATAACTGAGCACAATTAAGTAATTTAACACAATGATATGCACAAACAGTTGATATTACAGATATATTATCTCGAAGGCCTAAACTTTGAGATAAGCACCTCAGATCACATCCCCGGGCTCGCCTAGGAAACACACCCACTAAAGCAACTCTCTCCGGACTTGAGAAATCAAAAACAAATACCAGCAATCCCTCAGTCGTACTTGAAACACTGCTCTATATAATTTAGAATATATAACATATTTTACCGACTTAACGCTGAAAGGTAGTGACAGTAGAAAAACACACTAATGAGAAAGTTAACTTACACAGGCTTCGGGTTAGCATTAGCTTTAATGCTAGCTTGCGCTCGGCTAGCCCGCTAATGCTGTCAACTTCAGGTTTGTTTACACCAATTAATATCAATGATGAGTTTTATGTGCCGAAGCAAAACATTTCCAACAAACATCCAAAACATATTCCTAGAGTCTAATATTTTATAATTAAATTCTAACGGACCTTTTCTACAAAATATCGTATACAAATATCTTTAACATTCTCCTGGTAGCCAGTTAGCAAGCTACATTTCGCGAACTGCTGCAGCGAGGACGCGTTTAAAGACTGGAATAAAACAGGAATAGAGCGGTTTGGTTATTAAAATTCTAAATACAAGTTAGTCTTCATTTCGGAAGTCAAGCTAAAACAGAACCGTATAAGAAGGACATTCAACCCACCTAAGGTTTAAGATCTTCTCTTCCACCAGGAACTGTTTGTTAAAGCAATAAATCCCTTTAACGATCAGGTAAAAGGTTTGGGTGTTTTACTCCTTCAAAATCATACTTTTAATAATTAAATCGCCTGCCCAAAATCAACGGACAGAACACGTGCGACTTGAGTCGTTTCCCCCCAAGTAGAGCTCGTCCAGGCTGTGAGGTCCTAAAGGCAGAGAGATGGAGACTTTTTTTCTTCTTTTTCAAGAGGAGCATTCAGCCACTAGGGCATGGATGGGCGACTTCCTTTACAATAACTTGGCAACTCTTTCATAAAGCAAACCCAAAACTCTGTACAGTATTTGAAAAATAATGTGTTTTTTTAACATTAAAGCATGTCAACATATTCTGTTACACCAAATACACAAAATAATGATCTTTAAAAAAGCATCATATGACCCCTTTAAATTAAAAATAAGTTTATTGTCTGCCTGTTAATTTAATTTAGATACAAATGTCAGTCTCTGGTTTGGAGAACAACTGTTTATATGGATATTATAGCATTATTATATATCTATATTAGAATTGTTTTAGCTTTTAAATGATAGGAAAGCATAAATCAACTAAATAAATAATGTATCTTTTTTTTACTAAATACTAAATAATAACAGTAGCTGAGAGTGTATCACATCAACAGAAGGAAATAAATACATAATGATTTTCATAGCCATCTATCATAGCTAATAGCTTTAAAAAAGATGTAGTTATTTTCCAAGTATTTGTAATATATATTTTCCCAACATGTTTAGTGATGTAAAATGATTACATCTCCAAAATTATTCATCTTGTGTAGTAAAAATGAAACAGGGCCCACATTAATATATTATTCACAGACTGGAGCTCTTTCGGCATGTCATTAAGTGTTCAAAATTGTTTTAGTCTAATGAAAGTGGAAGAGCCCCAAAGTTTTACAAAGCAACTGCACTATATGCCTCTAAATGTCAATTTCTATGTACTTTATAAGTGAACTGAGAAATATCACAGGAATATTATTGTTATTATTATTATTATTTGAAATTTTAGAGAGTGTCAGAGGGCTGCCCTGACATGAATATGTCCAGATTTAACCTTATGCATGGAATATACTTAATCATAACAGTGGTGCGATTTGTGCTGTTTTCTTTTTCTCTACAATTCACCCCCAAGTTAAAATATGCTTGAAATGTCTCATATTTCAGTTTTTCTTTTTTGGAAATTTACTTTTAACTTACTTTTAAAATTGAACTTCCTGCGTATTTTCATCAACAGTCACAATTTCCCCAATACCTCCTTGGTTTTTCAGTCAACCTGAAGTTGATTTACAAATTCATGAATGTATTGAAAAAGAACAGAATGACATTATTATCAAGAACTATACAACAGAATACATCAGAACAGTTTATGATGCATTTCTTCCAATATACACAGATGGCTCAAGAAACCAAGAGATAGGTCGTACTGGATCTGCATTCTATGTTCCAGAATTTAAAATATGGGAGGTTAATGGATGGGACTTTCACTATACAGTACACTGCAGAAATGGTGGCAATTCAGATGGCACTTTGTTGGGTAGAAGAAGTGATGCCGAATAAGGTTGTAATTTGTTCAAATTCAATGGCATCACTAACCAGCTTTCCAACATTTCAAACAGATATAATATCTTCATAGAAATAATGAATATATTATATAGATTAAGACAAGCTGGAATAATAGTTAATTTTGTTTGGGAACCAGCACATGTTGATATACCAGTGAATGAAAATCTGATAAAATGGCTAAAGAGTCACTTAAACCGAACACTCCTACTATTTCAGTTTCAGTAAAGTAGGATTGAGGGAAAAGTATAATTAAAGAAGATTGCAATCAGAAATGGCAAGGAAATTGGAATGACTATAAAACAGGAAGACATTTTTATAATATACAAAACAGGGTAAGACAAAGTAAAATGATACTAAACTTAAGTAGAGAAGATCAGACTAAGGATTGGCCATACAAAACTTAATTCTACACTTCCCGTAATAGGAAAGCACAGTACAGGATTATGTGAAATATGCCAAGTGAAGGAAATAGTTGATCATGTGTTGTTAGGTATGAACAGGAAAGGAATGAAAGTCGAGAACTACAGAACATGTGATGCAGTGAATTTACAATCTGCAACATATTAAACACAAAACAAGGATCTGGTAAAATAATAAAGACAGTTTTAAAATGCATTAAGAATAGTGGACTTAAGAATAGAATATAAATCTCATAATAGAAAAAAATATGCACTTAGACTAATATCACTTCACACTCTAGCACAGGGGGTGGCGGTATGCGACCCGCCATTAAAATCCACAGAAGAAGAAGAACTTCCGGCGTTGCTAGGCTCCTCCGGAATTAGCCGTTTGTTTACAAATTTCTTGGGCATCATTGAAGCAGCAGTGAGGAGAAACTAAAGCATCGGTGTAAGTTTTTTTGTTTTCGTTGTACATGCATTTTTTTTTTAAATCTGCTATCTATCGATATATTGAAGAATATGTATTTATAACTAGCTTCTTGCCTGTTACTTGCTTAAAGTAACTAGTCCCTCGAAGATAACGGTAGTCACCTTATTATTATTTATTTTATCTTATTACCATATTATCGCCTTATTTGACTGCCATTTTGAAATCAAGAATAATTGCCTTTGGTTTGCTTAACTGGACAACTGTAATTAGCCTGATGTGGACACTGTCTGTCATTATATGTTGGCTACAGTGATTAATGCCGAAAAGACCATTGAAATATGTCATGTTGATGCAGGTTGGAAAGTCTGACTATTCACTCCAAAATGCCCTTGTTTGGCAATATTTTCAGTCCCAAGAAAACACCACCCCGGAAGTCTGCATCCCTTTCTAATTTACATACAGTAAGTACAAGTTTCTGTTAGTAAGATACATTTCACATTATATAATATGTATTTAAAGGCCAAATCATTTATTGTTTTTATCAGCTGGATCGGTCAACACGAGAGATTGAATTAGGTCTGGAATATGGATCTCCGGTGATGAATATTGGCGGCCAGAGCTTGAAATTTGAAGATGGCCAGTGGATCTCAGGTATGGCCTCCTACAATAAAAAGACCAGTTAAATGTAATGTAGTTAGCCTGTTTGAGGAGTGTAATGAATGTCTTTGTCAATCACAGAGTCAGGAGGTAATGTAGCAGGAAAAGAGGTACAGCGACTGAAGAAAAGGAATCTGCAGCTAGAAGAGGAGAATAATCTCCTCAGGCTAAAGATTGAGGTTCTTCTTGATATGGTGAGTGTTGAATGTATGTAATGCTCAAAGCCACAATAGCTTGAAAAATACGTAGGCTAAATCTTTATACAGTTATACATTTCATTGTGCAAACTGCAAAGTGATTTATCTTTTTTCCCTTAAGCTTTCAGAGTCAACGGCAGAAACGCATCTAATACAGAAGGAACTTGAAGATGTGAGGAGTAATTCTAGGAGAAAGAAATGATGAAAGGAAATAAAGGGGATTCAGTCTTTTTTACTTGTATATACAGTATATGGATTTTACAATGAAACTGGTGTAACTATTTTAAGAGGATAATTAATTATCACTAACATATTACACAGTTGTATTTTATTTTATACAGTTTTTTGCCAATTATATGAATTTTTTTTTATTTTTTCAATTAAAATAATTGTTTCAATTAATAATTTCAGGTCATCTTTATGTAAGCATTTTTTTTTTTGGCATTTTCTGTTTATTTTGCCTTTAAAAATACCTTCAAAACTACCATTGTCAAAAAAAACATCTGCTGAATTAAACAAAATGTTATCAGGTTACATAAAATCAGCTCAAGCTCACTTATAATGTGTTTAGAATACAATAACTTGTCTTATAGCCAGTTATAACAAATCTTCATTCCTTTGGCCCCAGTAAGTGCTCTTACATGACAGTCCCAAAACCTTTCTGCATTGTAGATCTGAATGGGCATTCAAATAACAGAAAACAATTACACTCTTTCTTTGGTTCAACAGTAAGATTAGTCAAGAGCTGTAAAGGTTTAAACATGTACATGCTGATTTAAGAGGATTTTCATAAGGAGTGTGAGGCACGTATTACATGCCTAGGGTAGCAAACTCTAGATCCGGCATTTTTCTTTTCTTTTTTTTTTCAATAATAATAAACTGAATACATTTTAATTATAATAAATGTTGTACAAATTTTATGCCAAAGTGTTATTTGCAAAATAGAGCATTATTTCCAAGTTTTCTTATTATGTAGTTTGACCTGTCAAAACATTTAACTTAATATTTTGCTGTTAAACTTCATATTTCCAAACCAATAAAAGAACACTTGTTATTGTATCACATTTGTTTCTTTTTAAACAGATCCAAACTACTTTTATCAGTGTAATTATTATTATTATTATTTTTTTTATGAAAATGCATTGTGCAAGTTATTGTACTGACACAACAAGTAAACAACTTGTGCTGTCCGGGAATTTCACCTCATTACCTATAAATAAGAGACTTGTAGACAGATTAATTACAGATTATTAACAGGAAGTACAAGGAAAGGAAGGAGGTGCACCCGCAGTTTATGTAGCAGATTATGCTTTAAAGTAATTCATATGAAACGTTACCGTGCAATGGGGCTTGCTTGATGACAAGACTCAGTGCCTTATGTATCTAGATTATATACATTATGTCTACTAAGAAGGCCAGGTAGATCATACAGCTGCCTGAAGAGATTTTTTGCTATTTCAAAAGCCAGGTAAGACAATGACTTGTGATTCGAGTAACTTAAAAACAATCAAATAATTGTCCTCAAGCTGATTTTTATGTTTATTTATCTACACTCTCAATGCTGGGTTAAAAACAACCATTTCTGGGTTATTTGGCAACCCATCGCTGGTTAAATATTGAACAGAACACACGCTGGGTTGTTTTGTTTAAAGGGGTCATAAGATGCGATTTCAATTTTTCCTTTCTCTTTGGAGTGTTACAAGCTCTTGGTGCATAAAGAAGATCTGTAAAGTTGCAAAGACTAAAGTCTCAAATCCAAAGAGATATTCTTTATAAAAGTTCAGAGTCAACCACGCCTACCTAAAACGGCTCGTTCTAACACGCCCC